GAAATCACTTCGAAATTTGCTTGAGCAAATCATGAAGACTATAATAAAGAAAGTATTATGATAAAGAAAACATAGATTGCACCTCAGAAATCACAATCATACCATAGAATTGAGCAACACAGTAAATATAATTCAATAATGGACTAATAATATATCCAACAAGTGCTTCAATAGCTAATCGCATTGCACTCTTTTGTGATGCAATCGGCGTCGTGATAAAGCCATAGAGTGCATTAACAGGATAAGGAACTGTAGTTACTACATAGACCAATACCTCACCTGCTAACATTCTCATTAAATCACGATCAGCTTTGTGAAAACGAACTTGACCAGTACTATCCCTAGGTGTAACTCGTGATCGGATTTGTCTTAAATTATTCCAGGCCAGAATACCAAAAGAAATCATAAAACATGGTGGAAGAAAGCCAATAAAAATAAATAAATAGACAGCAAATGCGAAAGCATAATACGATGGTGCACCACAACGACCAGAATAATTGTTAATGAAAATAGCCATATGCACTGGTATGATTGGCCAAATCAATAAAAGACAAAGAATAACGTTACGAGCCATTTTTGGTCGACAAAATGATCGAATTTTAGCATGTGGAGAAGTAAGAGCCCATCGGTCAATACATGCCGCTATCACTAGAAAAGAAAAGAAAAATAGATAATTTTATCTATATGATGATAGAACTTACTGAAACTTCGTGAAAGCATTAATAATATTTGTCCTCCATACCAGCGTAGTTTACATACGACAATCGATGTATGTTGTGGATCAACATGATCAACACCATAAACCGTGGAGATAAGTGAGGTGTCAATCAAAACCCAATTTGTAATTGCAGCAGCTAACAAATAATATGTACATGAATTAGGTTGTCTCCTTAATGTTCGTATAAATATAAGGATTGTTAGAATATTGCCCACATTACCCAGCACAATTAATGTTGATAAGCCATAGCGACCTAATTGTTTTTGAATATTAACTATAGTTGAAACTGACATTCTAAAATGTATAGTTGAAAGATAAATCAAGGGACATCTGCAGTCACTATTTCTTGATTAAATCTGAAGTGAAAATAATAATATCAAAGTATCATAAGGAAACACATATTAACAAAAACTAGCAATATAAATCTCATACGTATGAGCTACACAAAAACGTACTGATTAAACTAAGTCAAAGATCGTTTTAAAAGTACTCAACCATCGATTTTTCAATGTGTATCAATTGAAATGATTTGTAAATCGTTAAGAAAAAATTTTCGCACTATTCTATCTAAGTCGAGCGTTCCGACTGCTTGAAGCGGTGGAAAAACGATGTGATTACCGCCATACACATTGAAAAATGCTCGTCGTTTGTCAGCTTTTTATCTTAAGTCTGATTATGAGCTGTTTTTCACCGGAACGTTAACAGCGCCATTTAGAGTCGTTCGAAGCACAAACTGATGCAGAGCATTAAGATCATAATTACATCGTTTTTCGTCGCATACGGCTTACTTTCATTACATAAATTGCACACTCGGTAGCGACCTGCTTATATTATCTATTATTATGCGAAGTATTTCATTACATAAAAAGCATTTCTGTATATGGATTTATCATTGCAAGCTATATCCAAAATAGATGCATGAAAAATGAGCACACATAGACGCAACAATCATGCCTGTTGTGTATACAAGTGCCATTAAACATTTTTTTAAGACAAATGACTTCGCTAATAAACAAGAACTATTATTTCAGGGATCTATTTTTTATTTTTTGTCAAGTAACGCATTAAGGTTGTTTTTCGACGTTTTTAAACGTTTACAAATTATTGTTTCGATATGTGTTAAGCAAAAACATTGCAATTTGAATAAACTTTCTACTATGCATCTAGGACACAAAAGAACGGGTTCTATTATCCATGAAACTTATCTATCGAAAAAAAATGATGACTAAGAAATATACGAAGATGTGTACTTATACTTGATAACTCAATATTAATATCATTTCAATCATCATGTGGCAAGACACAGAGACATGTTTTTAGAGCGTACGTCAAATCGTCGAGTAGATCTCAACAAAATCTATTCATCGATGATTAAACTAGCTCAAAAAACTTAATTGAGGTCTAATATTAACAAAACAAAAACAAAGAGTAAAGTGCCGTTTCACCTGAGTAAAATATGTCTATGAAACATTAGAAATTCATTCAACCAGAAATGGTAGATAAGGTCATTTAGATTTATCTACTAAACATGATGAAAAATGTCTAATAATGTTTATGAGATAGTTTTTGATTCAATGTGAAAATAACTTGAAAACGAGGTAAAACTGCTGGTCGAAACAATGGTCGTTTTTGCTAAAACATAAACAATAACCGTAACAGATATTGCTTATTACTGTATCTCTCTATTCCAGTTTGCATCCTAAACGATCAACAGAACGGAAACCGTTTTTCACAGTTTTCGAGTCGTTCTATTCGATCTGGGTATATAAAATATTTCTAACGTGTCAGTAAAGAAACTGCTCGCATAAAAATGCCTTCCATCTTTTATAAAAAGGTCAAAGAGGTTATTATTGATCTACTTCTAACATGCATTTATCTTACATATTTCATTTTATAATGGGGTTCATTACTCTTTTTCTTGTTACTTATTAGTCAAAAGATTTTTTTAATGATATGCTTTTTAATTTTGGCTTTGGTGGTTCTACGACCGTTCACTCTTTCTTTCTCGGACGTGCCCATATATCCCTACAGATAGAAGTTCTAATTAATATTTCTAAAAAAAAATTTCTTATGTATGCACTCTCTACTCCTAATGTGAAGAGTATGAAAAACAAATATATTCTAAAAATAAATTCCTCTTTCTACTTGAATACGATTCAAAAACGAAGTAAAGAAAGATATATTGTTTAGATCGAAAGAAAATATTTCATACAAACTTTGATAGTTAGAGTCCATTCTTGTTGTAACTTTTCATATTCATTAAAAATGTTCGGACTGAGTTTCTTGATGAGGCTTCTTTAGTGAATGGATGGAAAAAGGCAGAAAGGAAAAATATCGAACATAAAAAATGTAGAAAATCAAAATGCCGAAAATAGAAATCATACAAATGTCGAAAGCTAAAAGCAATTAAAATGAAAGTAGGTCGAAAGAGAATCTTTGCCGCTCTCACCCTCATTCTTACATCTGCACCGTCACTTACATCCATCGCTTTCGATATTTTCATTTTCGATATTTTTCCTTTCTGCCTTTTTCCATCATACCTCTTTAGTTAATAAGCTATTTTTTCGTCATATTTTTAATAATTTATGTGGTTATCGATGAAGTGCTTAGGTGTTTTCAGACGTTTCTAGTGACACGTAACCTTCTAGTTGTCACAGAAAAGAAAGCAAATACATTTTGTTTTCAATTATTACTTGTTAATCATCCGAAGATTATGTTAAAATAATTCCAAGCTTATTAGTAAATACAAAGCAAAATATAAAGAGTAACTTTGAATAATAACATTTGTATCAAGTATTACAATAAATATCGATCTGTATTTGTTAGAAATGCTACATTCTTCACATTATCTTCTGCATGATTTATTTCTTGAATATATAACAATGTGTTGCTTTGAATCATTTCTATTTAAAAAAAAACAGTCTTTTCAGTAGATCATTTCATTTATTATTATGAACACAATACAGTCTTTGAAACAGTAAATAATTTATTAATTAAAACGACGTTTTCAAAAGAATAGTTTTTCAAAAGTTAAAAGAAATTTATGATCAAATGAAGATAAAGTAATAAAATACAGTATTAAGATAGATACTGGACCAAATTAAAAGCAATACGCAAACTAACCCATTATTAAAATACTCAAAGATTTTCATGTGTATTCGTACTACATAATATAAACATGATATGAAACTTGTGTAACAATAAATAAACTAACATTAACGAGTGTGTGAGTGTGTTGGATGAGTGTGGATGTGGATGTGAGTGCTTGGGTGTAGGTGTGGGTATGTTGAGTGTAGATAGGTGTGGGTTAGTGCGGAGTGGGTGGTTGTGTAGTGCGGGTATAGTTGTGGGTGTGGATGCAGGTGCATATATGAACGGAGGGAAGACCTGAACCCATATCCACATCAACCCGTATCGAATGACCACATTCAAACCCACAAAAGCATTCTCATACTCACACCCACCCTCATGCCCATGCCCACATCCATACACAAATTTAAATTTATTTTAATTTTAAATTGGACTTAAATGTAATGAAATCAGATTTAAACTCATTTAAATGGTTTCTAATTAAGGGGAAAAGCAAGACTCCCGCACTCCAAAGTATGCATGAAGTACAAGTGAAATATACGCGAAGTACAATGAAGTACGATGAAGTGCGTACTTCACTGCACTTCATCGCACTTTACTCGTACTTCAGTCATACTTCACTCTACTTCGGAGTAAGGAGTGTCACTTTTTCTCCCTTTCCTATAACCCACAATCACCAACACATCACATCCACATCCATTCTTCTTTATACATGAGAGTCAACATGAAATTTTTAGAAGATCATTCTCTGTGTTAGAAATATTTGTATCAAAGTATTCATATCTTCCATAAAGTTTCTAACGGTATGTGACCTATTTAATAAAATACAGTATCTTGATGTTTACTCAACAAATACCACTCATCTATAACTGGATCTTTTTTTTTCTTTGTCTTACTCTCTCATTTCCTTTTGAAAATCGTCTAATAGTTATTTTCCATTTTTCCACACGCTTATAATACGTTCAGAGGAGTAGATGGCAGCTGAAAAATAGGTGGAAATAAAAATAAGCTATCTACTCTTGTCATTTTTTTAAATTTATCATTGTTTGTTAACCCTGCGGCGAACAATAAACTTGAATGTAAAAACAAAATCTTATAAACATGACATTGATGACAAACAAATTGAATGTTCTATTTCATGTAAAATACAGAAATTAATAAAATTGAATAGACTTGTTCAATGATCTGATAGTCAATGAGTCGCTCGTGTAGTAAGAGGATGAACTATTTGTTCATGTTGAGTAGGTGTATGTTGTGGTAGAATACGATTACGTTTTTTCAAACATATGATTGTTCGTACATTTTGTCTGTATGCACGAGATACAATTATATAAACATAGAACGTTCCACTGTGCATTGTAAAATTAATAACAGCACTTACAGTTGACCAAAGATTTTCTTGTGCAAGTCTTAATTCAGATTTTTTGACTGATTGTGTAACTTGTGCATATATATTATATATGAAATTGGGAGTTGTGGTTAGGAGTACTATAACAAATTCAGCAAGCATCATTTGATTGACTTGTTCTTGAAAACGATTACGTCTGACAAATCCTGAAAGTCGAAGATTATTCCATGTGAGTATACTGAACAAAGCCAAAACAATTAACGAGAGAGCATTGGTAATAGTCAAATTAAAATAAGCAATAAATTGTTGGTATATGAAGCGAGAACTAGCTGATGCTGTACATGAAGGGTCCTTATAATAAATGGCGTCTGGTATACAGATAATTAAATATACTATACTGAATATAATCACAATGAAACGAGCTCGTTGTACAGTAAAAAAATGACGATAGCGTACATTACGTGAAGTGATAAGAAAACGATCGATACTTGACAAACATACACATGTCACTGGCATGTTCAGACCCCAACGTCCAAGTAACCATCGAAGTTTACAACAGATTGTTGAAATAGCTAATATATCAATATTAGTTATAGCTAGTAGAGACCGAGGAAAACGGGTTGCCCATAATAGAACTAGACTGCCGATGAATGAGCTGATCAAAAATATAGAATTTGGCATCTGGCGAAGATCTTTTAGATAAATAAAAACAAATATATTCAGCAAATTACCAACAGTACCCAGAATGATGAGAACAAGCATTATATAACCATTAATAATATTTGTGATTGATTGAAGACAAAGTATTTCATAGTTGAGGATAGTAGTTGGCATTGACAAAGTTTTTCTAAAATTGAAACATCTTCATCATTATATGCTATAAAATACTGACGATGCTAAATAATGAGCGCACTGTCTTTTGTGTATTTAACACGACAGAGATAATGCGAGTGTAAACAACATATAATGTTAATGACATTTTAATATTAATGAAAATCTGTAATTGTTTCTTGTTCTATATCTTAGAATATAATTATATAGCTAGAAGGAAAAAGAAGCCGAACGATGACTAATGAATTCTGAACAAAACTAAGTGAGAAGGTGAGGAGAAAATGAAGCCGTAACATTTCTGAGATCAAACATTTTAAAAAGAATATGTTGTCAAATCTAGAATAAAGAGATGTAGAAAAAACTTCAAATAATATTAAATAGTTTCATTCTAGAATGAGACGACCAATGTTCAGAAGGAAACATATCCAATAGTTTGCTGGCTACAACAATGAAAGGCCCTCGATGTACTTCGTGTAATCGATCCCAACCTCATTCTACTTCACTCACATTAACAGATTTTTCTAGATATTGCGACAATACCTTTGAAAATGTCCTTAAAATAAATTCCATTTAAGATGCTAGGTCATCATTTCAATTTTGAAATTTAAACATAGTTTCCTAGGAACTGCCTATATTTCTTCGTAAAAAACAGAATTCCGAGGACGAAAATGGTGGTTCAACGAGTCATATGCATAATTCACTTGTTGATTACCAGACGGCAAAAATAGTCCCCTACTCGTTCTCATATGTTTCTAAGGATGACTTCTCTCATTTAATCTCCTTTCTCTTCTTTTTCTCGCATGGAAGCTGTTCATCGGTAATGAGACATATCCTTTCATCCCTTTCATCTTCTGATTTCTTTGATATTTTCTTAGTCATTTTCTTCAATGTAAGTAATCGATTCTATAGCGCAAAACGCAAAATTATAGATATTCTATATCTTAACAAGAATAGAAAACAAGTGAAATATGATATGTATTTACAGTAAAATAATTAAATAGGTAATGTAATAGATTCGTCACATGTGACAACTTCCACTTTGGTGTGTACAAAAACAGAACAATCGCTGTTAATGAATATATACCATTTACCACAAATTGTAGTTTCCTGAAACAATCCCTAAACCAAATCCACATTTGCGGTTAATCAAACAATTAAGGTGACTCTGGTGGCCAAGTAGGGATTTTAATTTAGAGATTTTTTTTAATATAAGATATACTTACCATAATGGCCTCCCATTCCGCCTCTTTTTTCTCTTTTTTTGGAAAAAATAGGTGCTAAAGGAAAATAGTCGATAATGTTGATTTATTTGGGTGACTCAATACGCTTTAACCGATAAGGTCAATAACAAGGTTGAAAATTGACCTTGAGTACTCATTGAGAGAATCAAATAGACACTAATTCCCATCGGAAACATTTTTTAGTAAATTATTTTGGCTTGATATTTGATCGGATTAGTTAAAATCAGTATTTATTTAAGCCGAAATTAAAAAATACTATAAATTGTGATAGACTTATATACATGCAAACATAAAAGTTTGAAAATTAGATGCCTGAGTGGAACGACAAGGCAGCTTCGAATATGAACCTAAACACGATTTTCGATAATTGTAATTTAAGAATCTCGACTGCAGAACTGAGGAATCTGCCGTCAAAGTGATCAAATTTACTCGGATAGGGAAATCGTTTCCAAGACGTAGTCGGTTAGCAAAGCAACAAAACACGATTTTTCCTGATAATGCTCCTAAAATTTCACCAGAAAAAAAAAGTTTCCCAAATGCTTGTTCGCACACACACAGCAGTAGGTTCTGCATCTTTGGTCACCTCGAAGATGAATTAGTGATAACATCTAACAAATTTTGTAAAAATTCGCCGCATCATGTAACTGGAGAGAGGTATAGTTTTCCTACTTTTAGAGAAATTTTATGAAAAATCGTCAAAACTGAACAGTTGTGTACTAAAAATTAAAATTTTTTTCAAGTACAATTTTTCTTGTATATTACTCAATTCCAATTGAATTCCGAGTTGTATTAAGTCTCTATAATTGATCAGAATTAGTATTGTTGTGTTCCCAAGAAGGATCTTCGATAACGCGCTAGAAATTTTTATCATAGATTTGAGAAAGAAACTTTGAAAGCTTTGTTTTAAATTGAATTTGTGACATTTTCTTGTCTTATAAATATGTACACCCTATTACATCTTTTTTTTGTTCATGTTAGCTCTTTACGCTCTCGTGCTTTTATAAACTGAACACATTTTGAATATTCAGTATTTTCTTTTTAATTTCTTTTTCTTTGTCTACGAATATTCGGGTTAAGTGATGTTACTGTCGTGCACTTTTGAAGTAGGTCCTGTCTTTTTTGTAGTTCTCTTGTTCTAAGCTTGGTAGAAAAAAAACGATCGCAAATGTCAACAACTGAAAATTGCTTTCATCTTTCGAGATTTCGAGTCTGTATTGAATCCAGATTAACGGCTCTTTCAATTATTAACTTTTGAACCCCGAGAAAGCCTTTGTTCGCATTTCAGAAGCGAAAACATGCGCCTCTTTTTCTACGAACTGTCGGTGGGAAGTCAGATATAAAAAGAAAGAGAGTTTAGATATCTAAAAAGTATACCGTACTCTAATTGTTTCTTTTCTATTCTCATCGTTTTAGTTCTGATTGGATTTGACATATTGATAATTTATTTCAGTAAATATGCTTTATCGATTCGATTATTCTTATATAAACAACAAAATTGAAATACTCTTCGTGAATTATCAGATTAAATCGAATAAGTTGAGATGGTGTAAATTTATTATTGAGGTTTAAATTCTCAAAATTGAAATGAATATTAAATGATTTAAGTTGTGAGGCATTTTGAAAAATTATTTCGAGTTCATTAACTAAAGATTGTTTAAATTTTAGATGACAAAGATTAGTCATTGATATAGACTTTAAAACATGACTATTGTTTAAATATGAATGATTGAACCGTTGTATTATTAAAGAATAACTATTGATCGAAATCTACTTTATTCAATCATATTCATTTGAATAATCGTAATATCGTGAAGGATATTTATGTCTAGCTGTCTGAGTATTACATGATAGCATAGTTAATTGTTTAAGTTTGTCCAAACTGAGAAAAATAGCTTCTAACGATTCAAATTTAATCTTGATCAATATAAATGATCGTAGTCAAGTGAATTACTCAATTTGAAAGTGAGAAAACAAAAGTTCAGACTGACTCGACGTATCACGATCGTCGGACAGTTTTAGAGAAACAACATTTTTAGATTGAATACAACGACATACTTTCGAATCGATTTTAAATTTAGATGTCACGTAGAATACGGGAGTAAGCTACCACCGATGTGATCACTTACGTCAGAAAAGACAAAAAGAACTTCACGTACCAAAAAAGTAAGTGAATAAAATGTGCAATAATTCGATAGCTAACAAATGCAACGAACAGTAACAAGGCATAAGTGCTCAATTACTTTGTTTTTTGCTAATGACAGATAAACCAAGCATCAATGAAAAAGAAGTCAATAACCAAAAAGTGTCTTCTTTATAACATTGAAATAAGTTATATTATTATCTTCTGATAAAACAATATGTGCACACGTTCTTTTCTTTCTTCATTGTTGTCTCACTCACATTCCAACTTAAAGTAGATAGAATTCATGGAAGAAAAAGAACAATAATGTCATCCTCTTCCACTATTTTATTGAATTAACATATATTTCATCTACAATTTTCAAACAAAATGTAAAAAATGAAAATGTTCGTTTACCTTACTATTCATCATAGTACTGAGGTTGATTCATGTTTTGATTGTACATTGTTATTAGAAATTTGTTAAAAAGGAATTAGCATAGCCACAATTCTAAAGACAATTGGAAAGCTTTCGTTTTATACAAATAAGAGAAAAATAAAAAGTTTTTTATGTCCAAATAATTTAGTATTCTGAAATTGATTTAGATATTTTGAATTTGATGAATGTAACGAATTTTATCCTACGAAATTTTATATTATACAAATGAACCAATTCATCTTTCTCTTATTGAACTATTAGTATGGTTAAAAACTATTGTGACGTGAGCTTATACTATCTGACAGCACTTAATTGTTCTAACTGCAATTGTTGTGATCAGTATGATATTGTATCTAACTTTCGTTAGATTCATCACATACATTCGTCGCTGAACACTAATGTTTCTTATTTTTCTATACAAAGATATTAATATGAAATATAAAAGATTATTGAAGTAATACTTACGAATAAAATGGTGTGGGTGTGGGTAAAGAGAACAATCATACCCTCATCCAGCCCCGCACACCCACACCACCACACGCACCCACACCCACACCCCACCCACACCCACACCCACACCCTATGTGCATCTCATTTCAACATCATCTTATCGTCGAGTTTTTGTACGGTTTATTCTATTTTATTATCATCACAATTATTAGAATGATCGTATTAGAAATATGACAAGAGGACAATTCGAAATGAACACAGTTTTCATGGCAAAATAGTTACCATAATCAGTACATCAAACAATTACGTGAAATACAAGTGAATCAATGACATTGAATGTGAACTATTCCTCTTTTGTAAACATGTGATTCGACTCAATTTTAACAATAATATATTGTGATATTCATGCATTATTATCTGTTAAATGTGATAAAAAGTTTAAAAGAAATGCAAGAGGTTCGAGAAGATTGCACTGTATAATATTCTAGTAGAAAATTGACGATTAGAAAAAGTCTTCTACAGTCAAAGAAACATGCCAAAGATTAATTTATACGTTTTAATAATCTGTTGAACAACGAATATTTTTCTGTAGACTTTTGTGTCTTACTCAATATTAGATTTGAATGAAATAGCTTATCATAATGATCAAATTGTACATGTTGCAAAGAACAACACTCTTGATTTCAATGGATCACGAAATTTGATTCTGATAGCTGGAAATTTTATTTTTTCATTTCCGGCAAACTAGCGCCACC